AGGAAGGAAGGAAGGAAGGAAGGAAGGAAGGAAGGAAGGAAGGAAGGAAGGGCTGCCTTCTTCTCAAGACCCATGCTTCTGTTGTCGCTTTCTGCGCGTGAGGATGGAGGGGAGACCATGGCCTCTCTCCTGTCTTGCAGACACTCGTCATCCTCTGCTGCCTTCTGACCTGCTGCTGCTGCTGCTGCTGCTGCTGCTTTTGCTGTGGAGCGCTCAGTCCACCCCCCGAGGAAGTTCCCAAGAAGCAGCAGAAGAATGTCTATTGTCAGCAACCGAACGTCTGTTCGCAGCCAAAGAGATCAGGTGGGGAGCAGGGGCAGGGGTTGGGGTAAGGTGTGGCAGCGTGAGGGACCGGCGAGAAAGGAGACTGACCCTTGCAGTCTAGCACCGGCCTTTTCAGATCGAGGAACCGTGGGGGGGGAGGGGGGGGGGACAGGCCTTGGGAAGGAAAGAATTGAAGACAAGTTCGCAGATGTGGCGTATTGCAACTAGAAGGATGAGCTAGGGATAAAGCACTTGCCTAGCACGTGGGAGGCCCTGGATTCCACCTCCAGCCTTGGGGGTGGGGTGGGGGGAATACACTGTTTGAGATGGTTCCCACCCCAGAGAGTTAAAAGTCTACAATGGTCCGTTGGCTGAAGTTCACACCTTGCCACCTGGTGATGGCCAGCGAGGAACTGCGAGGTTTCTTTTCTCATCTGTGCACTAAAGAAATGGAGACGGTTGTTACTGTAGACATGCAAGCGTGTTATAATTCCACCCCAGGAGCACCCCAGAAAACTGAGATGGAAGATGAAGACAGTGAGGATTAGTAAGGACACGTAAAGGCGAGTGAGGTATGTAAACGGTGAAGCAGCAGTGCTTGCAGGATTAGAGAAGCCGGAGAGACCGCTCAGCCGGGAAAGGCGATGGCCACCAAGCCTGAGTTTCACCTCTGGGACCCACGTGGTGGAAAGTAAAGACCTGGCTCCTACAGAGTGTCCTCTGATCTCTGCACACATGCCGTGGCGCAAGAGCCTACCCTCATATACACACACGTGCGTGTGTGTGATATGTTATATATGTATTATATAACACACACACATATATACATGTGTTATATATATTTAAGGCATATCCAGTACTTCAGCTGGGTCATTATTGGGAAGTCTCCTCATCGCATCAACCACAGCTGCTTACACTCCTACATAGAGGCAGTGTGCTTTCAATTACCGGTGGTTATTCCTAATAAGGTTCCAACTGCCACTGTTTGTACCACCAGGTAACACAGTGACCGTCACCTGCCACGCAGCCCACCGGACATGCTGAAGAGAGAAAGAAGCAAGTAGCCCCGTCCTGACTCTGATCCTGACTTGACTCCTGATCTTAAAAACAATCCCTGCTTCAGAAGCGATATGACAACATCCATCCTAGAAAGAGCAGGATCTCTGCTCTGGGTATGCATGCCACTGAGCCTGTCCACACAGAACCTTCCGCTGTTCTTCTTCTATTTGGCTCTAGCTCCCTTCCCATCTTTTATCCACATGAGATCTCAGGCCGTGGCGGCAGGCGTTTCCTGAGATCTCTTTTTCCAGTGCGTGCCTGGGTACTTGCCAAGGTGGGTCCCTGAGCCCTTGCTGATTAACTTTACCAAGACCCCGACCACTAAGCAAGGTGGCTCCTGTCCCAAGAGCTGGGGGACCAGTTAATCCTCCTTTGTTGCAACTTTGTGTACCAGGGACCTCTAGCACCAGCCTCATTTCTTAGCAATACACCTTTGGGAGGCTGGTCTCACCGTCTTCTGGTACCTCGGGCATTGGCATCGACACCCTATCCATAAGACAGCTTGGGAAAGGTGGGGGTGCATTTGAGGTTTGTGGCTCCCCTGGGACTCCAGTCCCGCCCCCACAGCCGAGGTCCTGTGGACTGGCCGCGGCCCAGGCACCAGTGCCTGCTGCCTCCATTCTTCATGACTCCTCATGCAGGCCGATCCCCATGTATTTGTTCTCAACCCAGGGCCATGAAATGTGCTGGGGACAGACTGTACTTGGAAGACTTCACTCCAGCCTCTGTGTGTCGTGGGCTTGGCATCCTCTCTGTATCCTCTTTGCCATTTCTTTTGTGCTCGTGTGGGATCAGGGCCTAGGAACCCTCAAACCTTTCAGCCCTCATTGGAAGGAGGACTAAAGAATATCAATAAAAAAGATCTGTCCAATTCCAGTGTATGTTGGACCCCAAAAAGACAAGTCGTGTGTGGGGTAGAGAAAAAGACCAATTACTATTGCTCACGTCCGGGATGAGGCTGACATGGTCAGTAGAGGTGATCGCTGTGGAGTTGGGGGTCAAAGATGCCCAATGGTGGTGATTTTGTCGGTCACCCTAAGATTCCTCTGCAGACTGGATCACTGGTGTTCCAAATTACTGCGTCATGTGGATTCTTTCTAGACGCATCTGTTTCTCACAACTTTTTCCCTTTTTTATTTATGTGTGTTTGTGTGTGCATCTGCATGCATGCGTCTGTATAAATGTTCTGCACATGTGTGCCTGTGGAGGCCAGAAGAGGGCACTGATTCTCTTGGAGTTGGGCTGACAGATGGTTGTGAGTGTTGGGATCTGAACTCTGGTCCAACCACTGGGATTTCTCCAGTCCACGCTTGTCTCAGTTTCTAACCAAATGTAGCATCCTTGAAATGGCTTCACTAATGTAGTCGTGGACCAGAATCACACACTCTCGTGTCCTAATCCTAAGGCAGGCCTGGGGCTGGCACAGCAGCCATCTCTTGCCTCTTCAGCTGCTCTCCTAGGGTGACATAGTTCAGTTAGTATAGAGCTTTAGCACACATGAGACCCTGAGTTGACCCCCAGCACCTCATAAACTTGGAACGGTGGGGCTGTCCCCTAATCCCAGCACTTTGGATGTATAGGCAAGAGCATCAGGAGTTCAAGGTCATCATTGATGACAGTGAATTTGAGGCTAGCCTAGTGTACATGAGGGCCTGTCTTTTAACAAGGGAGAGGGAGGTGTGTGGCTAGATTGCTCAGTAGGTAAAGGCATTGACCAAGTCTAATGACCTGAGTTCGATTTCTGGAACCCACACATTGGAGAAAAAGACCTGACTCCTCTCAGTTGACCTGTGACCTCCACAGGTGCCGCATATCACATCCACCCCCCCCCCAAAGTAAATAAATGTTTGTGTGTTTTTTAAGGCTGAGCAAGAACAAATATGGACCAGACATAAAGGACTAGAAGTTCTCTCTAGCCGGGCAGTGGTGGCGCACGCCTTTAATCCCAGCACTTGGGAGGCAGAGGCAGGCGGATCTCTGTGAGTTTGAGGCCAGCCTGGTCTACAGAGTGAGTTCCAGGAAAGGTACCAAAGCTGTACAGAGAAACCCTGTCTCGAAAAGCAAAACCAAAACCAAACAAACAAACAAAAAAAGTTCTCTCTCTAGGGTCTGGTGTTCCACTTCTGAATCCCGAGTCTCTAGGAGCAGGGCCAGGGTCACTGCTAAGCCACAGAGGGACAGAGGGAGAGAAGACACTGTCGGTAGATCTGTCCAGACCTCCCCTCCCACCCTGAGCCACGTGTGGTCTCTCCCCCACACGCCGGTTTAGAGACGGTATCACTATCTGGAAGAAGGTCTCAAGCCAGAACACGAAGAGCAGGGCTCGCAGGGACCTTCCCGGTGACAAGTGAGTCCCACACCTTCGCTGACCCACCTTCCCCTGAAAGCAGTGACCCCCTGCGCTTCTTGCTCATGAAAGCCACCAGCTCCTGAGTGAGTCAGGGTCACTCCGCCCGCCCTGGACAGCTGTGGCTCGCCTTACAGGAGCTAAATCGGGAACCGGAATGTCACACAGATGCCCCTTGTCTCCCCACCCCCACAGTAATATTAATCTCTCCAGGGAGGAAGGGACAAACAGTACTGCCCGACGACGAGTGGCCAAGAGGGCGGCTTGAGGGAACGAGAGAATTTCACAGGGGGGAGCTAAAGTGTCTGGAGAGGGTTCTGAGCAAGGCGTGCAGAGGGAAGAGTCTGGAAAGAGCCAGGGGTGAGAGGCGCAGTGAGAGGAGCAGACAGGAAGCACCACTCTTTCAAGAGAGCCATCGCAGGGATCCTAAGACTCCACAGACAGCCGAACGTTCACGTTCACGAGGAAGGGGGCACGGGGCGGCGAGGGAAGGCCAGGAACAGGGCCGCAGCCAAGGCCGGCACCAGAGCGCCGAGGGATGAACTTCACCGTGGGTTTCAAGCCGCTGCTAGGGGATGCGCACAACATGGACAACCTGGAGAAGCAGCTCATCTGCCCCATCTGCCTGGAGATGTTCTCCAAGCCCGTGGTGATCCTGCCCTGCCAGCACAACCTGTGCCGCAAGTGTGCCAACGACGTCTTCCAGGTGGGTGGGCTCGGGGGGCCGCTGGGTCAGGTCAAGGAGGGGAGGGCCCGGTGGCGGGGAGCCCACGGGTGGGAGGTGGTGACTGCAGTGGCTGGGGAGCTGGGCGCGGAGGATCCCAGAGTAAGCGTGAGTCAGCAGTCGCCCCGAGGCTGGCCCGAGCACAGCCCGTGTCCACAGCAGCTACAAGTGTGATCCAAGGGGGACCGGCAGAAGCTGGCATGGAAGCGTGCTCTTGTCTGCTGGGCTCCTGGGAGCTTGGTACTAGGTGTTGTTGACTTGGAGGCTTTGATTTTTTTTTTTTTTAGAAGAGATCAATGAAATATTGAGGTGCTGAAAAATAATAGGACCAGCAAGAAGGTTAGTGGGTGAAGGCACTTGCTACCAAACCTGACAACCTAAATTTGATCCCCCAAACATAGCATGGTGAAATAGGAGACTCCTGGAAGTTTACCTCTGGCCTCCACTTATATGAGCGCACACACACACACACACCCTTTAAAATAATAACTGGGTATGGTGGTATACACCTGTAATTCCAGCACTGGGGAGAATTGTCATTATTTTGTTTTGTTTTTGAGACAGGGTCAGTCTGTGTAGCGCTGCCTGTCCTGGATCTTGCTCTGCAGACCAGGCTGTCCTCCCACTCACAGAGATCCTCCTGCCTCTGCCTCCTGAGTGCTGGGGTTAGAGAGACATCACCACCATGCTTGGGCATCAATTGTCATGATTTTTAGGCTAACCTGGTTTACAGAGTGAATTCTGGACCAACTTGGGCTACATAACAAGACTCTTTCTCAAACAGAAAACAAGAAAAAAAATCTGAAATTAAAAATTGATGCCGGGGCGGTGGTGGCACACGCCTTTGATCCCAGCACTTGGGAGGCACAGGCAGGTGGATCTCTGTGAGTTCGAGGCCAGCCTGGTCTACAGAGCAAGATCCAGGACAGGCACCAAAACTACACAGAGAAACCCTGTCTTGAAAAAAAAAAAATTGATGATAAACCCGTGAGAAAGCCTATGATGCCAACAGAGCTCTGTCCATGAGGGAGCTGGTTAGACACAGCGGGCCAGGGAAGCAGGAATTCTCCCCAGTTTCACACCTGTGAGCCTTCCTGAGCTGGTAAAGAGGCCCATGGCCTGATATTCAGGTGACTGACAGAAAGCTGAAGCAAAATTGTACTTCCCAGAAACGCCTGTGTATCTGCGCTCATGAGCCGAGTGCAGCTAAGTGAAGTCATAGATACCATTCTGTCGACACATTTCACAAAGAAAAACAAAAGAGCTGGGCACGGTGATGCATGGCTGCTGTCCCAGCCCTTGGGACGTGGTAGCAGGAGAATGAGTTTAGCGTTTAAGGCTGGCTTGGGCGATCGAGACCCTGTCTAACCAACTAAATAAAGCACGTCCCAGGAGTCTTTATACATTCCTAGGCTCGCTTTCTGGCTGTATCATTCATGGAAGTTCAAGTAGGCTACAGTACTGGATCAGAGGTCAGGGAAAGTGAAGAGACAGGACACGCGACACCTCGCAGATGAAGTAAAACCGAATACATCAGAGCTGGCTGGTTCTGTGTACAAACCCATGACAGGAACATCAGGAATAAGACTCTGACCAGGAGGGCTGGAGAGATGGCTCAATGGTTAAGAGCTCTGGCTGTTCTTCCAGAGGTCCTGAGTTCAATTCCCAGCAACCACATGGTGGCTCACAACCATCTGTCATGAGATTTGGTGCCCTCTTCTGGCCTGCAGGCAGAATGCTGTATACATAATAAATAAATCTTTAAAAAAAAAAAAAAAAAAAAAGATTCTGACCAGGAGCCAGACTCTATGACAGGTCTGTGGTCACAGCCCCTGGAAGGAGCACCACAAACTAGAGGCTAGCCTCCAGCTAGCCTGGTCTATGTAACCACAAACTAGAGGCTAGCCCAGTCTATGGAATAAATACACCAATATAGCCAGAGGCTTTATACAGCAAGATCCTGTCTCAAATAGGAAAAAAAAAAAAAAAAGTGTCTGGGGTTAGAGAGATGGCTCAGTGGCTAAGAGCACATGTCCCAAATAACTCAGGTTCAGTTCCAGCATCCACGAGGCAGCTCACGCCCATCTGTAACTCTAGTTCCAGGAGATCTGATGCTCCCTTCTGAACCCTCCCTGCATGGGCGCCATGCATGCATGCAGGCAAAATGCATGCACATAAAATAAATCTTAAAAAATTGAAATAATTATTCCTACTTTTCACAGACTACCAGAAAATGAGTTGAGCAGAGATTTTCCACCTCCCCCTTTCCATGTCTCTTCGACGCTGTGGTTAATCCACGGCATTGTGTGTTAAACATGCATCCTACCATTGGATCTACACCACAAGCCCCAGCACAAGCTATTTTTTAAAATATTTGTTATTAATGTGTGTGTGTATGTGTGTGTGTGCACATGTATGTGTGTGTATGCACATGTATGTGTGTGTGCACATGTATGTGTGTGTGCACATGTATGTGTGCACATGTATGTGTGTATGCACATGTATGTGTGTGTATGCACATGTATGTGCATACAGGTGCCCACAGAAGCCAGAAGAGGGTGTTGGATCCCCTGGAGCTGGAGCTGCAGTGTTTGTGAGGTAGGAGCTGAGGACCGAACTCTGCCGCTCTGAACGCGTACATGTTCAAAAAGGCTGGGCTGTCTCTGCAGCCTCGACACAAGCCAGTCTCAGCTTCCTTGAGAATGGGCTTTTAGGCTCCTTGGTGTAGCAGGTTTTCTCGGACCGCCAGTCCCAAATCATGACACAGATATTTATTAGTTATATATATAAATATATATAAATATCTTAGGCTTGCCCCACCAGCTCTTACAACTTAATTTAACCTGTTTCTTTTCATCTACGTTTCGCCTTGGGCTTCTTACCTTCTTTCCTTCTGTGTGTCCTACTTTTCCTGCTGCTGTGTCTGTCTGTCTGTCTGGCTGGCTGGCAGCTGCCTAGCTGGCTAGCCCCGGGCATCTCCCTCGTTCTCTCTGGAGCCTAGATTCCTCCTCCTACTTATTCTCTCTCCCCGCCAGCCCCACCTATCCCTCTACTGCCTACCTATTGGCCGATCAGCTTTTTATTAGACCAATCAGGTGCCTTAGGCAGGCAAGGTGAAACAACACATCTTTACATCGTTAAACAAATGCAGCATAAACAAATGTAAAATAATACATCTTTACATAGTTAAAGTAATATTTCACAGCACCTTGGGATAGCTGTTTGAAGGCAATGAATGGGCTAATAAGTTAGGCCATCATAGCACATCTACATTCCCTGTCTCCTGCCCCCCACTGGGTAGCCAGCACCCCAAAATCTCTGCTGCCATTGTCCTCTTGAGTTCTCCTCAGATTTTCTTTTATTCTGGGTGTCCAAACCCGCCATTATTGGGCTGTAGAGACCTGGATTTCCCTGTCTAGGGGCCTAGACTACAGGTTGTCCCAATCCAGTCTCAGACCAACAAATAAAACCAAAACTTCTTGTCAAATGTGGTGGTGCACTCCTGTAATCCTGGAAGCAGCAGGATTGTCATGAGTTTGAGGCCAGCCTGGGCTACACATCTAGTTCTGTGTGAGTGACTATGCCTTTCCTACCACCTTGGCTTCTGGTCTGAAAAACTGACACCTTTTAAGCTGAAATATCTAGAAAGGACATCTTTCCCATGTATTTATATAGAAACATCTATTGCTTTCTTCCATGTGTGGGGTGTGTGTGTGTGTGTGTGTGTGTGTGTGTGTGTCCCTCCCTCCCTCCCTTCCCCCTCCCCCTCTCATGGCACATGTGTGGAGTAGGTTTTCTCCGTCCACAACCTGAACATCAGGCTTGACAGACAACCTTACCCACTGAGCCATCTCTGGCCCTGAGGCATCCCATTATTAGAACTCAAAATATGTGAAGCCAAAGAAACGTTTGGAATGCTAAGGAAAGCATTTGGTACAAAGTTGCCCAGGGGCCGAGTGTGGTGGCACACACCTTTAACCCCTACACTCAAAAGTCGGAGTCAGGTGGATCTCTCCTGAGTTCGAGGCCAGCCTAGTCTACACAGTGAGCTCCAGGCCAGCCAAGGCTATATAGTGAGACCCTGTCTAAAAGACTAACAAATGGGAGAAGGTTGATTTGTAAACGATAAGGTATGTAGCACAGAGACCCGGAATAGCCATATATAGAGCCTATACAGTGAGTGTGTGACCTTCCTTCTCCAAGGCAGAATTCTTGAAGCTCAAGAATACATACCTCAGCCCAGAGAGACCTAGGAAGGCTTGGGGACAAACCCTGTGCAGATTCAGTGGCACACACCTGTTGGTGCTGCTCAGGAGGCTGAGGTGAGTGGGCCACTTGAGCTCATGAGTTTTGAGACTACTAGCCCAGGCTAGTCTGCCGAGATCCTGTCTTAAAAAGTGAGAAGTTGGGGATGTTCTCAGTGCTTCCTGGTATTCACAGAGTTGACTCTCACACCTGTAATCCCATACTTGGGAGGTGGAGGCATGGTCAGTTTGAGGCTAGCCTGGGCTACATGCGACCTTGTCTCAAAAACAAACAAGACCCAAGCCTGTGTAGATTACTTGAGAGGTAACGTGACCGGCAGGGCTCTGAGATGGTTCTGTAGGTCTGGTGCAGAGCGCTCTGCTCTCCTCAGGAAACAGAGTGGACAACTCAGTCCTCGATGCTTTATTTGGGAAGGCCTGGGGGAGGCTGACCCAGTTACCCAGCTGCACCCATGTCTATACATCACAGCTCCGTCTGAAAGATGAGCATACTTCGCTTTTCACACATTGCCTCCACATTTTGACAACTCCAGGCATAATCACAGTGTGTTTTCTAAGTATGGCGACGAGAATAGGACTTTTAGTTCCTCCACCTTCAAATCACTGAGGAAGAAAACCTTCAGAACATTGCCTAGAAAGTTAACAGTTACGAACATGACAACAGTATACCACATTTAAATTTTTATGTGTACATTTTTTTTCAAACACCTTAGAAGT